TAATCTTACTTGAAATATTACAGATTTTAGCAAATGCTGAATCTGAAACATCTTAAGCTTACTCAGCATGCGAGGCAGTTTAATGAAGTATAATGTAAAATTATTTCACCATTAGAAGCAGAGTTTGGCAGCCATTTTTTTTAAATGCAAAATTTTATTTCTTTATTTTCTCAATAGTAAAGGAAAATAAAATAAGTCTATTTAAATTACGTTTGTGAGGGTTGCTATTGACTAAACACCATGGCCACAACAGGTAATCAAAGGCTGGGAATTCTACATTGAATGGAACTTGCCTCCTGACTCCCTAGAGCTCATCTATCATCTACATACACAGGTCAGGAATGTGATGGGATAATCTCTATCTGGCAAACTGTGTGCAGCTCCACGAACACTCAAGTAGCTCAATACCATCCTGGACAAAGCATTCTGCTCAATTGGCACCATATCCACAGCCTTAAGCAGCTATTCTTTTTGCCATGGCTACAAGATGTACCATCTACAAGATGCAGGAATTCGATGAAGTAATTCACCAAGGCTCCTCATAGAGCACCTTCCAGACCCTGGTGACCTCCATCACCTGGAAGAATGAGGGCAGGAGATGCATGGGATCACCACCTCCTGCAAGTTCCCCCAGAATCCACACAACATACTGATTGGAAACTGTACAACCAGTCTTTCATTGTGGTCAAGTAGGAATCCTAGAACTTACATCTGAACAGCATTGTGGCTGTACCTATAACAGATGGACTGCAGTTGTTCATCACCATCTTCTCCAGAGCATTTAGGGACAGGCAATAAATGCTGGTCTTGCTCATGATGCTTATACCATGTGAATGATTTCCTTTTTTTAAAACTTGGATGAACAGAAAATATTTCTGACATTGCGAGAGTTAGCCTTTGAAGAGGTGGGTTATCTCCAGAAGACAGGTTGCTGCAGTCTCACGTTTTCTCAAGCTATCTATTTAATCACATTCTATGAACTACATATACTTAGACTTAGCACAATATCTACAACGTTGTATCCCTCTTCAGAACTTCTCCATCTCTCACATCATCACAGACAAAGTTTGTAATTTACAAAGCTGAAAATATTAAATCCCCAAAAATTTTGAGAAAATTCACTCACGGAGACAACCAACCAGTCAGTCAGAGAAAAGTACCCCCCAGAAAGGAAAGAAATGGTGAGAAACATCCCTTCCAATCACACGCTGGTTCTCTCCCATGCTGGTTGCAAATAGATTTATTTGCAAACCTATCAGCAGCCAGCATGGGAGAGAACCAGCCTACGACTAGAGGAGCAGTGAAAGAAGTAAGTAAATACCTGCAGTAAGGGAACAAGTACTGGAGACAACAAGGTGCAGGGCTGGATGAACACAGCAGGCCAAGCAGCATCATAGGAGCAGAGAGGCTGACGTTTCGGGCCTAGACCCTTCATCAGAAAAGGGGGAGGGGAAGGGGGTTTTGAAATAAATAGGGAGAGAGTGGGAGGCGGATAGAAGAGGGATAGAGGAGAGGATAGGTGGAGAGGAAACAAACAGGTCGAAGAGGCGGGGATGGGGCCAGGAAAGGTGAGTGTAGGTAGGGAGTTAGGAAGAGGATAGGTCAGTCCAGGGAGGACGGACAGGTCAAGGGGGCGGGACGAGGTTGGTCGGTAGGAGATGGAGGTGCGGCTTGAGGTGGGAGGAGGGGATAGGTGGGAGGAAGAACAGGTTAGGGAGGCAGGGACGAGTTGGACTGGTTTTGGGATGCGGTGGGGGGAGGGGAGATTTTGAAACTTGTGAAATCCACATTGATACCATTGGGCTGCAGGGTTCCCAAGCGGAATATGAGTTGCTGTTCCTGCAACCTTCGGGTGGCATCGTTGTGGCACTGCAGGAGGCCCAGGATGGACATGTCGTCTGAGGAATGTGAGGGGGAGTTGAAATGGTTCGCGACTGGGAGGTGCAGTTGTTTGTTGCGAACCGAGCGTAGGTGTTCTGCAAAGCGGTCCCCGAGTCTCCGCTTGGTTTCCCCGATGTAGAGGAAGCCACACTGGGTACAACGGATGCAGTATACCACATTGGCAGATGTGCAGGTGAACATCTGCTTGATGTGGAAAGTTTTCTTGGGGCCTGGGATGGGGGTGAGGGAGGAGGTATGGGTACTGGAGAGCCACCTTTTTGCCAAGGTGCTGGACTGCACCAGGTCCAGGGAGAAGGGAGAAGGTGGAAGTGGGGGCGGGGAGACACAGGAGGTCTGATAAACACCATAACAGGTCGGGGGTGGGGGTGTGTAGGGAGACAGGGGGAGCCTCAGGGGCTATGGTAAGACAGTGAGGTTTGAGAGAAATGGAAGAATTGGGGAGGCTCCCACGTGCATGGCAAAGATGGAGAGGTTGTAAGTGAATTGGGGAGTGATGAAACTAAGTTTGGGAGAGAGAGAGAGGGGGAGGATGTGTAAAAAAAAAAGTGTCACATTTTGAAAAATAACTTGCTGCTAACTTATACCTCTTTTTCTTACGCAAATTTAAATACTGTGGATTCCAGGAAATTACTGCTTTCTTTGTTGCATTGTGGCATTAGGTTTAATGGATTGATAATTATTGAGGATATTGTTGAATTGTTCTGAGTCTCCTTTTATGTGACACCAAATACCCACTACATCAACACAATACCATCACATAATAAGAGCTAGTGACAGTGAACCCAAAATGAATACCCTGATTATTTAAAAACCGAAAGAACTGCGGATGCTGTAAATCAGGAACAAAAATAAAATTGCTGGAAAACCTCAGCAGGTCTGGCAGCATCTGTGTAGGAAAAAAAGAGTTAATGTTTCGGGTCCGGTGACCCTTCCTCAGAACTCTGAGGAAGGGTTACCAGACCTGAAACGTTAACTCTGTTTTTTCCTTCACAGATGCTGCCAGACCTGCTGAGCCTCTCCAGCAATTTTGTTTTTTTACCTTGATTATTTATTCAAATATTAACCCTTTACTCTTCAATACTGGCAAACCCACTGGGAGGAACCCCTCCTGTTCATTTTCCAACTAGTCTAATACCATGTTTTCCTCCAACCAAGGAGGTAGATGTCGCAAGGGAATGACACCACCCCTGACAGTGCAACATTTCATCAACACTCCAGTGGATTATCCCTAAAGTTTATGGCAGGAGATCTGAATCCAGGACTTTCTAGCTCAGGAACAAAAATGTTGCCTATTTAAGCATGACTGATACCTTGTTAGTTTGTCTCTCCACAGTGAAAGTCATTCCATTCAGTTGTCCCAGTTTTATCCCCACAGGCATTCACTCTCCACCATGAATTACCGGTAGTATGAAGAATGTCCCATTGAGAGTTACTGAGCTACATTCACAAATTTGGTACATCAGTTTTGTTTCTCTCTTTCTAACCAGCAAATTAGCACTGCTGGTTAGACTGCTGCCTCACAGTGCCAGGAACCCAGATTCGATTCCACCCTCAGGCAACTGTCTGTGTGGAGTTTGCACATCCTCCCCATGTCTGCATGGGTTTCATTCCATAGTCCAAAGATATGCAGGTTAGGTGGATTGGCCATACAAAATTGCCCATCGAGTCCAGGGATGGGCAGATTTGGTGGATTAGCCATGGGAAACGCAGGATTACAGGGATTGGGTGCAGGGGTGGGTCTGGGTGGGATGCCATTAAAGGGTTGGTGTGGACTTGATGGGCTGAATGGCCTGCTTCCACACTGTAGGGATTCTACGATTAATGATTAATAAATATTGTTCTCAAGATGTACAACTGTGACAACTTATCTACATTGTACCTTATGACATAATTAAAAATCCCAAGGTGCTTTGCCATTGCATTGAAAGCAAAGCACGCCAATATTAGAACATGTGACCAAAATCTCAGTCAAAGTTTTAGAAGTGTCTTAAAGGATGAAAGCAAGGTAGAGAAGTTAGAAAGATGTAGATAGGGTATTCAAGCGTATGGTGCAGGGGAAAGCTGAAGAGGTGACCACCAATAGTGGTGCAATTAAATCGGGAATGCACATGTGGCCAAAATTGGAGGAGCACAGATATCTGAGGGTTGTGGGATGGGAGAAAATGAGAAAGACAAGAAGGGGCAAGAAAATGGAGGCATTTGAAAACAAGGATGAGAATTTTAAAATCAAAATATTCTTTGATTGGGAATCAGCGAAGTATTGAGGTTGGGAATTTGTTGATGGTTAAGACAACATGGGCACCTAAGTTTTGGATGACCTCAAATTTATATAGTGTATGACATGGGAATCCAAGCTGAAGTGCATTGGAATTGTCAAATCTTGAGTTAATGAGGATCTGGCTGAGGGCATCAACAGCAAATAAGCAGCTAATGCACATCCACCATGCAAATATAACTACCAATGGTGGCTGTTTAACTGCAGTGAATATTACAAGCTGATCTTGAGTCTAGTTTCATCCACTTTCAAAATGCCAATTTCAGTGCTCTTTCCCTGCTCTGACAGAAATCAATTACCCAGCACAGGCCAAGCATTGAACCCCCAACACCACCTTGTTCAGTGCGGGACAACCATTCACTGTTTAAACCTGAGGCCATCAGAGAAATCACTCCTGTTTAACCGAGTGAACATGATTAAAAATACTCCAAATTATAATTGGACACAAGGTTATAATGTATCATAATCATATAGCATGAGAAAATAAAAATTTTCTACAGAAAGAATGTTCTTAGTATTTATGCTGCTTTTCAGGAATCAGGTATTGCTGAAGGAGAGAAAACAATTGAAAATTTTGTGCACATTTATGACACATCAGCACTTTTAGCTGTCACTAATCATTATCCAGACAGCATTGCTGTGGCTTTGTGCCATTGTTGAATCGGGTAGCCATATAAACAAAAAAAAAAAAAAAAATTGATAAGAAAAAGAGACAGAAGATGCTACAAACACTTTTACCTCAACTTAATGCAAACAGGAGATCATAACATCATTAAAATCAAAATCAGAATATCATGTTAAGCTCAAAAAACAACAGTGCATATAGTAATTCACAGTCTAAGAGTATACCAAACCCATTATTACTGTCAAATGTTGTTTGAAAGAACTCCTGTAAAATGCCTCAGGACGTTTTACCACATTAAGTTAATGAGATAAATGGAACATGGTGTTGTTATTGACACAAGCCATGAATTTCTACAGTGGTCCCGGTCAATCTGCAATCGTCTAACTTTTCTTCTTAAGCAGCCCCTTGGGATCAAGGGTAACTGGCCTGTACTCTGATTCAGCGGCTTCCGAGATTGCAATAACTCCAACGTGCGATCTACAAAGTCATACCAGATGGGGGTGGAGCTCAAAGGACCGGACAGATGAGTTGTTTTGAGGTTTGTGCACCATCTCTGACACCTCAACCATACCTCTGGGTGCTCCCAAAAATGTGTCTCAATATGCGTGGAGCTTTCCTATATAAACCTTCTCCATTTTAGTTAGTCACAAGTCAGAAGCTGGATGAGAGTGTAGGAATGTTTGACCCCTTCGGGGATGCTTTGAGGACATCCCTAAAGCGTTTCTGCTGTTATCCTGGGAATCTCCTGCAGTGACCAAGTTCCAAATAGGACAGTTGCTTCAGGAGTATGATGCCAGGCATACAAACATCCTTCCAAATGGATTTGGTTTGACATCATTAGCGCTTCAGTGCTGGGCACATTGGCTTAGGAAGAAGACCACTGCTATTGAACTATCTTTTTTGCCACCAGATCTGGAGGATCTTGTGAATGCGTTCTTGCTAGTCCTTCTGCGGCACTTGGAAGCAGCAGGCACTTCCAAACCTCTGAAGCTCAGAGATCATTACTGTTCACCAAATCATGGTGTTAGTCTAGGATTTGAAATTCTGATCCTTAAATACTCTTCCTCTGTTGGCCAAAAGCTAAACTGGCATGCTGGAGGCGATAATGAGATTTATTACTCATTAAGAGGAGGATCCCAAGATATAGAAAAAGCTCTATTTTTCAGGAAGTCACCACCGATCTTAAATCATTAGGAGGAAGTGTTACACTCTCGGAGATAGTTGGAAAACGATCTTGGTTTTCCAGTTGTTTAATGAGAGGCTTGTTTTCTCAAGTGCTTTGTCAGAGGAGTCAAAATGACCTGGAGCTCAGTTTCCAGGTGAGCACATACACACAAATATTTTTTATTTTCATTCTAGAGCCCAGTGATTGATGTTGTACTGATTTTGGTTTTGGATTGAAGGTGGAGTAGCTTGAACAGTTTCCTCTCCTGCAGATTATCTACTCACCTGTGGGTGATCTGCTGGAGGTGAGGAGCTGGATTGCAGCGAGGAAGATGAAGGAGATAGTTGGTGCAGTGGGATAACTCAAAGATCCCAATCCTCACTGAAGTAGGTTCTCTGTTTATCCCAATCGGTGAGGATCATGTCTTGCATGTCATCGTGGAGTAGGCGTAGGATGGTTGTACATTTCTGAATGATGCCAAATTTGAAAAAGATACTCTATAATCTTTCATAGTTGACAGTATCAAAGGCTAAAAAACAAAGTCTCTGAAGCATTTGGAAACCCTCTGAAATTCTGAAACACAGTGGAGATATGTTCCTGACACGGATGCACAACTTCATAATTCAGGAAGAGGGGTTTGTGCCAGGGTCATTTCAAGAATTGAGACAAGTCTGATTGGTAGCCACTGTAGTTGCTGCAATCAGAAAAGATCCTCTCCTTCCCTCCTCCTGATGGCCGAGCAGCTCCTTCTGGAGTCACAGTCCAGTTTTCATCCATCAAGATACACCACAGACATAAATACCACTGCCCAACTAATTCAAGAAAAATGCAAAGAGCAGCACCAACTTTTGATGACCATGCCCTGAGGTGACCTCAAAAAACCATCCACCATCCCCCTTTAAATGGTCAGTGTTGCTACTACAGCATACAGAAGTTATCAAATACTAGAGTCGATCCTCTGCTTAGTTCACAGACTGCAGTTGTCTCCAGTATCCAACTCCCATCAACCAGGAAGGAAGTTTGCAAAAGATATTACAGTTGCTATAGAGCAAGCACAAAGATTACTCAAAAACAAAATCTAACAAAGTGTAATTGGTATGGTATATGTGGAGATATCAACATTAATAACACAAAGGGAGTGGGCATTGCAGGAAGGAGGAAAACAAACAATTTATTGAAATTTAAAATTTACCAAGTTATTTGTGCAAGATGTTTCAGTCACATCGGATTATAATCTTACATTGTTCCAAAACATTCCTATAGATATCATTGAAGAACATTGTTTCTGAAATCACCTACATCCTTTGCACATGTAGTATCTTCTTACAATGTTTTTCTACCGTTTTGACTGATAATAAAGTGCCAATTGATGTGGAAATCTCACTGAACTATTTAAACTGCAAGCAGAAACATCTTGATTGATCAATCAGGTTACAGTCCTACATTCAGTTCTAAAAGGACAAAAATCACAATCTCTGATTCCACGATAAACTGAGTACACCAAGTGCTGCACAGAAACAGGGCTCTCAGGCAGTGCATTCTGGTGTGTAGGTTCCACAGAAGCAACCTCCACCCACCAATCTTAAGGGCTTACCTTCCCTAATAGAAGATTCATTGTCTAAAAACATGGGGGAAATTGGTTCAATCCTTTGTTCTATCTAGTCACAGCACAGTGTGCACTTGATATCAGAAACATACACAACAGAAGATAGGTTCTGCATTTCACTATCTCACCAAAACAATCTGTACACTCTGAAAGCACAAGATTTTTCCCCCCTAAAAGCCACAGAAAAACAATCTTACTGAATTTCAAACTAAGGTAAATAAAGTGCTTCTAGAAAGCTGTCTAAATGTTGGAAGAGAAGGGTTAACACCAAAAAGGCAGATTCCAAACATCATCTTGAGGCTTAAACAGGTCTACCTCAGTTTTGAACCAGGATACTCCCAGGATTACACCCATATGTGCGCACTGTAAGTTAGCAAACTTCTGCAGTTTATAAGGAGTTTGGGAAAGATAACGTTATTAACAAAAAAAGTGCTGGAAGACTCAGCAGGTCTGACAGCATCTGTGGAGAGAAACATACAGTCCATGTATCAAGTCAAAGACCTCCCGTTCTCTCCAGATAAAAGATGATCAGATTGCAGCATCAACTCGACTCTTTCTTTCCACACATGGTGCCAAACCTATTGAACATTTTCACCATTTTACAGTTTTTATTTCAGCTGTCCAGCAATTGCTATGCGTATTTTGTTTTTGGTGTTGAGTAAAATGTAACATCAAACACAGTAGATAAGCAGAATCAGTCAGTCCCCCAACTTTAATTGATTAAATCTCAACTGCACATTCTAAACAGACAGTCAGTCATTCTCAGTTATAAAAAGAACACAACTAAGCTGGAAAAACTCAGCAGGTCAGGCAGCATCCATGCAGAGGGAAAGAGAGTTAACATTAAGCTGGATAACCTTTCCTCAGATCGAAATTAAGTTATTTCAAGTTTCCACCACCTGCAGTACTTTGCTTTCATAGTAGACGCAATTTGCAAGTGAGACTAAGTTTTCCTTAAAATATGTCCGTGACATTGTTAATATTGCAATTCTATCCATTCCTAACAGCTGGTTAAAGATTACGACACCTTGTAAAGCCATGAGCTGGAGCAAGGAATGAGGTTGCCAATAAACAAGGACTCCGAAAGGACTTGTAACTTGTCCAAATAACATAAATGAGGACAGAGGTTGCCTTGGGCTAGGCTAGGGGCCAGGGTGCTTTCCATGATGCAAGCAGCAGAATTCTGGGCAACTCCCTTAAAGATTACCAATGTTTTTGGACATTATTGTAAATTTGAATTAAATTAGCCTATAACCCATTACTTAGCTAGTCATAAGATAACACAGAGCAAGAAGTCTACTTGAGGCGCTGGGCCCATTATTTTCAAAGTACAAACAAATAATTTGAGAAATCAACTACTTCAGTCATTTATTAATCTCAAGAGAACAGAAGAACTGCAAGTAAACCTCAAAAGGATAAACGTGTGGCTCCCCAGTAATCTAATGAAAAATCCCAGCATATCAAAGCGACATTAGAACCTGAATTATTTAACTTGTTGTATTACACAAATGAAATGTCAGTAGTCTTAACAGCAAAGACATCAGGTGTTTACAGTATTTGATCAACTTCAACTTTTATACTGGGATCTTTTATTCTGATTCTTTACTAGGCATTACTTGGGGAGGTGACAGCCTAGTGATATTATCACTAGATAATATCACTAATGCCCAGAGGATAATGTTTTGGGGACCTGGATTAGAATCCCACCGTGGCATATGGTGGAATTTGAACTGAATAAAAATCTGGAATTAAGAGTCTAATGATGACGATGAATCCATTGTTGATTCTCAGGAAACATCCATCTAGTTCACTAATCCCCTTCAGGGCAGGAAATCTGCAACCTGGTCTGGACTACATGTGACTCCAGACCCACAGTAATGTGGTTGACTCTTAATTGCCCTCTGTGATGGCCCATCAGGAGCCAACAGATCTTCTCTATTCCATGGCATCACTGGCAAGAGGATGGATTTGTATCGTGCACTGTGTCAAACACCAAGAATTTAGATTGAGGGCCAACCCAAGTGCAGGTGAGTGAAGGCAGGAAGGGGAAATTCCAGACGGAGGTAGGAATGCGATAACAAGGGCAGTGATAACAGTATTAATCGAAGTTAACACAGGTAACAATAATGCGTGACAAGTTATCTGAAAGTAAGGCTGAAGGGAAATAAAAGTAGGTAGAATAATAGCAGTTGGCTGGTGAGGGAAAGTGATGGGATCTTTAGGGACATTAAATCAGGTGGCATGATGGGGCTCAGTTCCAGTCACCTTCCTGCCTTGTTGGTACTTTGCCAGCAGCACAGAACATTTCATGCAACCGGCATGTTCTTGGTCAAAGTGCCCGCTAATGAGGATTTCAGAATCTCTTTCCATCACCAGTATTTGACCAGTCACAGGGGGTGTTCCCTGCCTTCCCGAACCCAGGTTTAATTCCCACTCCCCTTTGCCTGTCTCTTAACTGACCCCATCAAAAACTCCCCATTTTCCTGGGTGTCAATTCCAGCACTGAATAGTAGCAACACTGGAACTGAACTTCTGCTGAAACAGGGGCTGAAGTCTCCAAGTCTGGGCTAGTTAACAGACTGACTCCCATAACATTGTCTCAGATCTTCCCAGCCAAGTGGAGATGATCTCGTCCCCAACTTTTAAGCTGGACAGTGGGGTTTCTGCATAAAATCCCACCCTATGTAAGTGGAAATGATGGTTTCTACTAGGTGTTCAAGTCCAATTTCTAGATATGTACATTTTTAGTTAAACAAGAAGGGAAGCAATGTCGGATGCAGTTCAAGAGGAAAAAAGAATTAGATAATGCAAGTATAAAAGGGTATCCAAGAAACAATGACAATAACGCTATTAGATTCACTGCAAAAAAAAATTGAAAAAAAAGGGAGAGAAAATATACATTTTCTATCAAATAAAAAGGGAACCAGCCCTAGTTAAATCAGAAACAAAAACATGGAAGATTAGACAGTTGTCAAACAATAGAAAAGTTCTAGACTGGAGATGATTAAGGAACATAATAGGCCAATTCCCACAGGTAGTAAAGAAGGCACTTCAATACACAGATAAAAAATTTAAAGTATATGACAAATTTGAAATTCATGTACAGAAAAAAAAGCCAGAGTACAGAAAATAGAATAAAGAGGCAATGAAGAGATTAAAAATGTCAACACAACAAGAAAAAAGTCACACAGGGAATATAACAAAAATAGTGACAGAACACAGAAAAAAACATTAAAAAATTAAGCTGAGGGAGAGAAACAGAGCAAAAGCAGAAGTTGTTAGATAAACTCAACAGATCTGGCAGCATCTGTGGATAAAAAACAAAAGTTAATGTTTCAAGTCCTATGCTGCTGCTTCAGATGGAGGCAGATTTGAAACATTAACTCTGCTTTCTCTCAACAGATGCTACCAGACCTGCTGACTTTCAAATTTAGGACAGATTTCCTTCCAGCCAATCAAGTCTCAGCCCTCCTGTGACATCACTTTTATCAGTTTGGTTTCAGTTACTCAGTGTTCCTCCTTCTAACTCTGCTCCCTCAGCCCTTGACCTCGTCCAACAAGTACGAGGTACTTGCGCCCTGTGTGGGTGAAGAACAGGGTTGTAGGGAGGATGAGCCAGCTGACCACAACACCGTGGCATAGGAGGCCATTCAAGAGGGGGGAGCAAAAAAGAGAAGTGGTAGTTGTAGGGGATTCTATAATTAGGGGAATAGATTGTATCCTGCTCACAAAGGATGCTGTGTCCCACATGGTATGTTGCCTGCCCAGTGCCAGGGTGAAAGACATCTCTAACTGGCTTAAAGAATATTGGAGATGGAAGGGGAGGATCCAGTTGGTTTGGTCCATGTCAGGACAAACAACATTGGCAAGACAAGGAAAGAGGACCTGTTTAGGGATCATCAGGAACTATGAACTAAATTAAAGAACAGACCCTCAAGGGTCATAATCTCCAGATTACTGCCCGAGCCACGTGCAAATTGGCATAGGGACATGAGAATAAGGGAAGTAAACACATGGCTAAAACAGTGGTGTGGGAAAGAGGGGTTCCTTTTCATGGACACTGGCATCAATATTGGGACAACAGGAATCTGTACCGGCGGGACGGTCTCCACCTGAACTGAGCTGGGACCAATGTACTAGCGAGAAGGGTAAATAGGCTGGTCAACAGGACTTTAAACTAGAAAAGGGAGGGTGGAGGAGAAGGAAGTTTAAAACTCCAAGAAGTATAATGGCCAATGGGAAACAAAGCAGCAGCTTAACATCTGTAGGGGTGGATTCAACTGCATGGAAAATTACGAAAAAAGTTAAAAGAAAGGAGAACTCGGGCGTCGCTATTAAAGTCTCCAGCACACAGAATAGGACAGAGTGTTTGGAAAGGGTTAGGAATCAAACTTCAAGCACACTGGATAAACGAATAATGAGAAGAGGGACGGTCAATACAGGACTGAAAGTGTTGAATATGAATGCACGTAGTATATGAAACAAGGTAAATGAGCTTGTGGCGCAAAACAAAATTGGCAGGTATAAGGTGGTGGGCATCACGGAGACGCGGCTGCAAGGGAATCAAGACTGGGAATTAAATATCCAAGAATACAGATCCTATCAAAATTACAGGCAGGTAGGCAGAAGGGGTGGGGTTTCCTTATTAGTAAGAAATGAAATTAAGCCAATAGCAAGAAACGAAGTAGGGTCAGAAGACGTAGAATCTGTGCAGGTAGAGCTGAGGAATCGCAAACGTGAAAAAGCCATAATGGGAGTTATGAACAGTAGTCAGGATGTGGGGCACAAGATACATTAGGAGATAGAAAAGACATGCAAGAAAGGCAAGGTTACAGTGATCATGGAGGATTTCAATATGCAGATGGACTGGGAAAGTATGGTGGCCATCACCAAGGAGAGGATGCTAGAAAAACTGAATGGCCTGAAGATGGATAAAATACCTGGACCAGACGGAGTGCACCCAGAGATCTGAAGGAGATAGCTGAAGAGATAGTGGAGGCATTAGTGGTGATCTTTCAGGAATCACTGGAGTCAGGGAGGGGTCCCAGAGGACTGGAAAATGGCTAATGGTACCCTCCTGTTTAATAATGGAGTAATGCAGAAGATGGAAAATTACAGGCCAATTAGCCTGACCTCAGTCGTTGGTAAGATTTTGAAGTCCATTGTGAAGGATAAGATTTCTGAATACTCGGAAGTGCATGGTAAAATAGGGCAAAGTCAGTACGGTTTCATCAAAGGGAGGTTATGCGTGACAAGTCTATTAGAATTCTTTGAGGAAGTAATGAGCAGGTTAGACCAAGGAGAGCTAATGGATGTTATCTACCTGGATTTCCAGAAGGCCTTTGACAAGGTGCTGTACAGGAGGCTGCTCAGTAAGATAAGGGCCCATGGTGTTGGAAGCATGGATTGAAGAGTGGTTGTCTGGCAGAAAGCAGAGATTGGGGATAAAAGGGTCCTTGTCAGGATGGCAGCTGGTGACTAGTGGTATTCCACAAGGGTCAAAGTTGGGACCACAACTTTTTATTTTTTACATTAATGATCCAGATGAAGGAACAGAGGGCATCCTGGCTAAGTTTGCAGATGATACAAAGATAGGTGGAGGGACAGGTAGTATTGGCGAGGCAAGGAGGCTGCCTAAGAATTTAGACAGGTTAATAGAGTGGGCAAAGAAGTGGCAGATGGAATACAACATGGGAAAGCGGGAGGTCATGCACTTTGGTAGGAAGAATGGAGACATAGACTATTTTCTAAATGGGGAGAAAATTCAGAAATCTGAAGTTCAAAGGGACTTGGGAATCCTGGTCCAGGATACTTTTAAGATAAACTCACAGGTTGAGTTGGTAGTTAGGAAGGCAAATACATTGTTGGTATTTATTTCAAGAGGATTAGAATATAAAAGCAGGGCTGTACTTCTGAGGCTTTATAAAGTTCTGGTCAGACCACATTTAGAGGACATTCACAAGAATGATCCCAGGAATGAAAGGCTTAATATATGCGGAACATCTGAAGACTCTGGGTCTATACTCGCCGGAGTTTGGAAGGATGAGGGGGGGGCATCTAATTGAAACCTGCAAAATACTGAATGGCCTGGGCAGAGTGGACGTCAGGAAGATGTTTCCATTGGTAGGAGAGACTAGGACCTGAGGGCACAGCCGTAAAGTAAAGGGAAGACCGTTTAGAATGGAGATAAGGAGAACCTTCTTCAGCCAGAGTGTGGTCAATCTATGGAATTCACTGCCACAGAAGGCTGTGGAAGCCGGGTCATTGAGTATATTTAAGACAGAGATAGGGTTTTGGAGTAGATCTGTAGCTCGAGTTGTGGGTATGGAGGTTGGTTGGCTTGCCGAGCTGGTTTGTTGTTCCGCAGACGTTTCATTACTGTGCTTGGTAACATCCTCTGATGAAGCGTCGGTGTGTTTTCCCACCTGGTTTTTAAATTCGGGGGTCCGTTGCGATGGATTGCCTCACTTCCGCATTTCCTCCGTAGTGCAATGTGTATGGGGTCCAGTTCAATGTGTTTATTAATAGCATGCTTCGTGGAGTGCCATGCTTCCAGGAATTCTCGTGCTTGTCTCTGCCTAGCCTGTCCCAGGATCTGGTGTTGTCCCAGTCGAAGTGGTGGTTCTCCTTGTCCATGTGGATTGAGATGAATGAGTATTGGTCGTGTCTTTTGGTAGCCGGTTGGTGTTCATGTACTCTGGTTGTTAGTTTCCTTCCCGTTTGTCCGATGTAGTGTTTCTCGCAGTCTCTGCAGGGGATCTTGTAGACGACATTGGTCCTGTCCATGGCGGGGAGTGGGTCTTTAGTACAGGTGAGCACTTGTCGTAGGGTTGATGGTTTGGCTTGTGTGCCACTCTGACGCCCAGCTGTCGTAGAAGTCTTGTGGTGAGTTCTGACGTGTTCTTGATGTAGGGTCGTGTGATGAGTGTGTCGGGGCGTGTAGAATCTTTCTGATGCTGTTCCTGTACGCATCTCCTGACCCAGTTCTTTGGATATCCACTATCCTTGAATACTTGGAAGAGGTATTCCTCCTCCTCTTGGCGTAGATCCATGTTGCTGCAAAGTGTTGTTGCCCTTTTAAATAGTGTTCACACGCAGCTTCGTTTGTGTGTGCTGGGATGGTTACTATTGAAGTTCAATACCTGGTCTGTGTGTGTGGCTTTTCGGTGTACTTTCGTTTGCAGTTCCCCATTTGTCTTGTGCTCTACCATGACGTCCAGGAATGGGAGTTGTTTGTTCTTCTCCTCCTCTCTGGTGAATTTTATTCCGGTGAGGGTGTTGTTTATGAGTTTGTGTCTCTCTTCTAATTTGGTCCATCATTAATCCCCTGCAGAGACTGCGAGAAACACTGCATCGGACAAACAGGAAGGAAACTAACAACAAGAGTACATGAACACCAACTGACTACAAAAAGACATGACCAATACTCACTCATCTCAATCCACACGGACAAGGAGAACCACCACTTCGACTGGGACAACACTAAGATCCTGGGACAGGCTAGGCAGAGACAAGCACGAGAATTCCTGGAAGCATGGCACTCCACGAAGCATGCTATTAATAAACACATTGAACTCGACCCCATATACATTCCACTACGGAGGAAACCCGGAAGTGAGACAATCCATCGCAACGGACCCCAGAGTTTAAAAGCCAGGCGGGAAAACACACTGACGCTTCATCAGAGGCTGCACTGAGGATGTTACCAAGCACGGTAACGAAACGTCTGCGGAACAACAAACCAGCTCGGTGAGCCAACCAACCTCAACAGAGATAGATAGATTTTTGGTTGTCAAGGGAATCAAGGGCTATGGGAAGAAAGCAGGAGAATGGAGTTGAGAAACTGATCAGCCATGATTGAATGGCGGAGCAGACTCAATGGGTTAAATAGCCTGTTTTCTGCTCCTAGGTCTTATGGTCTTAATACGAGGTAAACCTGAGCTGAAACAGCTAAGTCAACAAAATAGCTAGACACAGTTTGCAGGTCTTCAGAATTACTATCTAATAGCAAGTAAGGGTAAGCATCTATAAGCTATAATGAGAATTAGATTACTTGCATAGAAACGTCAAACTTTATTAAAGACATCCCAGCATTGACCTGTAAAAGTCATAGTACAAGTCGATACCTAACCAGCACTTCTGTTTTATTTCAGATCTCCAGCACCTATACTATTTTGTTTTTATTTTACTGTTCCTTTCCATTTTGGTATCCTTATTTCATCAGGAAGGGTTAATCACATATATTAGATACACAGACACACACAGCGGAAGCTCATGAAAACAACTGGCTACTTACTGTACAAGAATCAACAGAATCACTTGGAAGCCTGCCATCACAACGAAGCTAAATCCAGGAAACGATGTCAGTGTTTGAGGATACAGTGCATCAAATACAGTTGTCCCAATTATAACACAGATTGTTTCTATAGAAGCCATGCAAGAAAACATTGCACCTATTAATAATTAAAAAAAAAAGTGTATGAAATATTAAAGCTTTGGTCACAGAACTGGTATTCAGTAACAAATAAACAAAGCAGCTTAAAAATCACCATCTTTTAGCCTCTGCGGGGATAGTGAGCAATTAAAATGAAAATTCATAACAATAGAACACAAGGTTCTGCAACAAAGATTGAATATTAAAATTTTGGCAAAATTCCAGAAACTGGTTTATCATTGATGCACAAGTGTCAAAAGTTCATCAGTTCCACACAATAAAAAGTAGACTTCCATTTCAGAAAGAGGTACTGGCAACGGTGGCAATGTGAGGGCTAATCATACATAACCCAGGACTTATGTTCTGGAGGTGGCAGATGGCGAAGTCTGAATTCAAACAAAATCTGGAATAAAAAGCCCACCAAATGATGGCCACTACAGGTGTTGTGAAAAGCCTAAGTCCTCTTACCTGGTCTGATGTACATGTGACATGTATCATACTACACTGAAGTCTAAAACAAGGGAATGAAAAATGCTGGACCACAGGCAATGATCTAAGCATCAGAAATGACAGTGACAAGCACACATTGTGCACCTGCAAAAGTCCTCTTGACTAATATATGGGGGTTTTGAACCAAAATTCAGATAGCAGCCCCTCAGACTACTCAAGCCTGACCTAGTCATACTCATGCAATCATTTTTTACAATGTCCTCCACACCACAATCTCCAACTCCAGATGTGGTACAGTAACAGACAGGAGGAAGGTGCCCTGGGAACCATCAATATCAAATTTCGAGCTCACAAAGTCTCAAGGCATTGGGACAAATATGGGCAAGCAAATTTCCTGTTGATTATCATCTACTGCTCTCCCCTCATAAACACACGCTAAAACTCAGCCAGCTCAAATAATAAAGGACATAGCTACCAGCCTGGCAATTGCTAAGGAAACCAACCAGAGGGAAATCTATTCCACCCCACCCTCACCAAACTACTGCCCACTCGTTTTAATAGGACAAGAGACGGTCAGCCCAAATAGCACAGGAAGATTCAAGACAAATTCCTCTTCACATTAAGAATACCCTCCAAGTAGTGGAATCTTACCATTTTTTTGGCTGAGCAACAGTTCAGGTTTGGTGGAGTGAAACTTCCATGAGGCCAGACAAGTTTTTTCATCGTATCTTACCAAACTTGCCACTTTAAATGCCGTTGCCAACCTAACGGAGAGTATCAAATCGTATCTCCGTCTCATCTTACCACATACCATTCCAAGAAAGACTTACCGCTCACCAGACATTGACCAAGGACAGCATCCCTTGGGGCCGTGCCATTGTCAAGAGCTTTCAATACGCATCGTCACAAATTTCTCGCTAGGTAGCCGCAAGTTGACAATTGAGGTTCAGAGTTTGTTAAATACCATATTAACAGCCCAGTTCACTCATAACTATTCAGCTTCCCATCATACCAGAACCAGGGATCCCAATCGAAGGATTCGGGGTAGGCCATTTAGGACAGAGATGAGAAGCAGTGGACCTGTGGAATTCTCTGTCATATTAAGTGGTTGAGGCCAAAATACTGAACACTTTCAAGAATGAGTTATTTTAGTTCTTAGGGTTAATGTGATCAAAGGATATGGGCGGCATGGTGGCTCAGTGGTTAGCATTGCTGCATCACAGCACCAGGGATCCAGTTCAATTCCACCCTAGGGCGACTGTCTGTGTGGAGTTTGCACATTCTCCCAGTGTCTGCGTGGGTTTCCACTGGGTGCTCCAGTTTCCTCCCACAGTCCAAAGATGTGCAAGCTAGGTGGATTGGCCATGCTAAATTTCCGACAGTGTTCAGGAATGTGGAGATTAGGTGGGTGGAATGCGTAGATTAGGTGGGTCATAGGGTGATGGGTCTGGATGGGGTGCTCTGAAGGTTGGTGTGGACTTGTTGGGCTTAAGGGCCTGTTTCCACACTGTAGGGATTCGATGATCTATAATATGTGGAGAAAGCAGGAACAGGGTACAGAATTGGATGGTAAACCATGATCATATCGAATGGTGCAACGGCTTGAAGGGCCTCATAGAAAATAAGAGCAGGGGTAGGCTATGTCAAGAAACCGCAACATGGAAATCAGATACCTCATGACTTCAGTTTGCCATTTGCTCTGAAGGACCTCCACGCTGGACACCAGGCTCCAGCATCTTGGGAATTCTCCAAATCCCTTGGCATATGTATTATTCTGTAAGAACCCTCATGATATATCACCAAACCACTTAAAAATGCTTCTGTACTTTAATGTTGCACTGTTGGCCACACTGGCAGCTATCACTTTAATGCTGAACCAAAAACACTATGCACTCAGGGACTTATACCCAGCTCATGGAGTGGACCACGCTGCATCTGCAGGTTCTTTGCTTGCTGTTAGAGAGTTCTTTCATTCTTAGCCGACCTGGATACTCTCACCATTCTGACCTTGCATTGCCTGCTCTGGTTTTTTGCATTTTGCCCCCTCAACCAGAGCTACTAGGCTCACAGCATCATAAAATCTGTAGAATCATAGAATCCATACAGTGAGGAAGCAGGCTATTTGGCCCAGTGAGTCCACACTGACCCTCCAAAGAGCATCCCACCCAGACCGTACACACCCTCCCACCCTATAACCCTGCATTTCTCATGGTTAATCCAGTCAGCCTACACATCCCTGAACACTGTTGGAAATTTAGCATGGCCAGTCCCCCTAGCCTGCACATCTTTGGACTGTGGGAGGAAACCAGAGCACCCAGAGGAAACCCACGCAGACATGGGGAGAATGTGAAAACTCCCCACAAACAATTGCCAGAGGGTAGAATCAAACCTGGGTCCCAGGTATAGTGATTAGCAATGCTGCCTCACAGAACCAACATGCTGCCAAACCTCTCTACTTCTGTCATGCCATGCCATGTAGTGCAGACACAAAGGGAGGAAGCTGGTCGTGGTTGTCAGCAGTCCTCATCCAGGCAAGGTGGATAGCCTTCATTCTGGGGACCCTGACACAGTCCAGGTGCTTAGACTAGGTCTGTAATAGTCAGTATGCTCTCCACAGAGATTGGAGACAGCCAAATGTCAAACTCTTTCTGCTCCTGTTGCAGGCTGATTTCCTGCTGTAGTGAGAGTGTGTCAGGGATTACGGAAACAGTAAAGTAGGTGGCACAGTTCTTACTTTTGGAGCAGATGGCGAGGCATCCCAAGCAAGTGACTGGGCAATACAGTGGACATTCAGGGCTAGTGGCAGCATGGGTTGGGTGGGTGACAGTGAGTGAGGGAAGACATTGCAGGCAATAGTAAGAGTGGCAGAGTGGAGACACTTGGTGGGACATGTGTACAGTTGCAGAGGTAGTGAGTGCGAAAGTATGAAAAGAAGGTGGCACTTACATTGGCAGAGAAGGTCATTGACTTTCTTCCTTCAGTGCTGAGCATTCCTTCAGACAGCTGAGACTGTTTTAACATGGGTAGCAATCTTAAACCAAGGCTGGCACGGTCTCATGTTATGGCTTCCACTGCTGGTCCTGAGAGGGACAGGAAGTCTCACCTCTGCACCACCCTGTCCAGCAGGACGTCCCGGCTCCTACATGCAAAGGGAGTTGACAACTTAACCCTTTCTACTATGCCTGGGGCAAATGTCGAGAACCATGGAGGAAAGCCGTTTGTTGACAGGGCTTGTCTGGCTGCACAATGGGCTTTTAAAAATAGCACATGCACAAGGGGTGCCAGTGAATTCCAGGATTTCTGCTGAGTGACAGGTTGTCCCAAGAATGATGCATTCTAAGGTGGGCTGGTATCCACTTGTCATAGCCACTGGAAAGGTACTTGATGAGATAGGTTTGGTAAGATATAGTGAGAAAACTCATAGGCCTCGCAGCAGAAATCCCTCCGAAAACTCAATGCAATTTGGACTTAAAAATAACGTAAGCTTCAGCCATAGCTTTATTTTTCAAAGTTATTAATTGAATTCAGATTTTACCAGATCCCAGAGTGGGATTAGAACCCATGGTCCCAAAGCATTAGCCTGATCTTTATCCTCTGGATTGCTAATCAAGTAACATCATCACAATACGACGCCTCCATCCTTACAAACCTTCAAAACCTACAACCTCTACCATCCAAAACAGCAGCAGATACACAGGATCACCATCAAATGCACGTTCATCTCCAAGTTACATCTTGCAACTAGGATCACCATTCCTTTACTCTCACTGAGGCAAAATCGTGAAATCCCCTTCCTAATAGCACCATGTTGACCTCCGAAAGACCGCAGCAGATCAAAAAGACAGCTCGCCAACACATTTTCCAGGACAATTAGGGATTGGCAATAAATGTTAACTCAGCCTGTGATGCCGACATCCGATAAACTATTTTTTTTTTTAAAAAGTGGCAAAGCAAATGGCTGTACAGTTGAATGGGAATTAGCATTTTAAATGATGAGATGACCAAGGGCATTGCAGTCCTTGGTATAAAGGTAAAATACTAGAAATAAAAGAGGCAAAGCATAACAAACAATATGGGAAGAATGTGTAAACATAAAAAAGATGTAACCTGCCAATTCCAGTTGAATCAGACATTTATCCCTAGTCTGATGAAAGTCGTCAGAGAAATCTATTTAAAAAGTGAAACAGAGTTGTAGGGCCTTTGTTCATGAATGGCCAACTGACCTTGAAACCAGAGATAGTAGGAACTGCAGATTCTGGAGAATCCGAGACAACAAGGTGCAGAGCTGGATGAACACAGCAGGCCAAGCAGCATCATAGGAGCAGAAAGGCTGACGATTCGGGCCTAGACCCTTCATCAGAAAAGGGGGAGGGGAAGGGGGTTCTGAAATAAATAGGGAGAGAGTGGGAGGCGGATAGAAGATGGATAGAGGAGAGGAAACAAACAGGTCGAAGAGGCGGGGATGGAACCAGTAAAGGTGAGTGTAGGTGGGGAGTTAGGGAGGGGATAGGTCAGTCCAGGGAGGACGGACAGGTCAAGGGGGCGGGATGAGGTTAGTAGGTAGGAGATGGGGGTGCGGCTTGAGGTGGGAGGAAGAACAGGTTAGGGAGGCAGGGACGAGCTGGACTGGTTTTGGGATGCGGTAGGGGGTGGGGAGATTTTGAAGCTTGTGAAATACACATTGATACCATTGGGCTGCAGGGTTCCCAAGCGGAATGAGTTGCTGTTCCTGCAACCTTCGGGTGGCATCGTTGTGGCACTGCAGGAGGACCAGGATGGACATGTCGTCTGAGGAATGGGAGGGCGAGTTGAAATGGTTTGCGACTGGGAGGTGCAGTTGTTTATTGCGAACCAAACGTAGGTGTTCCGCAAAGCGGTCCCCGAGCCTCCGCTTGGTTTCCCCGATGTAGAGGAGGCCACAACGGGTACAGTGGATGCAGTATACCACATTGGCAGATGTGCAGGTGAACATCTGCTTGAAGTGGAAAGTCTTCTTGGTGCCTGGGATGGGGGTGAGGGAGGTGGTGTGGGGGCAGGTGTAGCACTTCCTGCGGTTGCAGGGAAAAGTGCTGGGTGTGGTGGGACTGGAGGGGAGTGTGGAGCAGACAAGGGAGTCACGGAGAGAGTAGTCCCTCCGGAAAGCAGATAAGGGTGGGGAGGGAAAGATGTCTTTGGTGGTGGGGTCGGATTGCAGATGGCGGAAGTGTCGGAGGATGATGCGTTGGATCCGGAGGTTGGTGGGGTGGTACGTGAGGACAAGGGGGATTCTTTTATTTCACAAGCTTCAAAATCTCCCCTCCCCCTACCGCATCCCAAAACCAGTCCAGCTCGTCCCCGCCTCCCTCACCTGTTCTTCCTCCCACCTATCCCCTCCTCCCACCTCAAGCCGCACCCCCATCTCCTACCTACTAACCTCATCCCGCCCTCTTGACCTGTCCGTCCTCCCTGGACTGACCTATCCCCTCCCTAACTCCCCACCTACACTCACCTTTACTGGTTCCATCCCCGCCTCTTCGACCTGTTTGTTTCCTCTCCACCTATCCATCTTCTATCCGCCTCCCACTCTCTCCCTATTTATTTCAGAACCCCCTTCCCCTCCCCCTTTTCTGATGAAGGGTCTAGACTCGAAACGTCAGCCTTTCTGCTCCTATGATGCTGCTTGGCCTGCTGTGTTCATCCAGCCCTGCACCTTGTCGACCTTGAAACCATCTGGTTTTCTATTGAAGAGATCGATGTATAAGACCCTCCTCTCAAAAGTTATTGACATTTTTTGTGTCATTTTTGTAGAAAATATGGCTATATTGCCACTTCTCTGTATTACTTTTGTCTCTGCCAGAGTTACTTTGGAAAGAGTTATAAGGAAGTATGAGATAACAAGGTGTCGAGCTGGATGAACACAGCAGGCCAAGCAGCAGAGGAGCAGGAAAGCTGACGTTTCGGGTCCGGACCCTTCTTCAGAAATTCAAGTAGTAAGTATGGACAGCTCATGAAAGCTTTAATATTAAAGTGAGATTAAGATCGCATTTTAAACCATTTGTAATGAATGCAAGTCAAACAAGATTATCACAAAATCATTAAACTTAATTTCACAAGCAAACCTGCAATATTGACCTTGTTCATTTCGTTCTACGATACTAGATGCCAGAGACTGAAGCACAGCTCCAGTGAATCCAGAAAAGCTGTTTATTACCGCACCTGAAAGATTAATATTTGAAACACATGATCAATACTCATTTCTTAACTTGTGCAGATAAATAAGCTTCATATAGATCCATTCAGGTGACTACAAGTGGGAGGAGTTGAAACGGACCATTTAGAAAAAAGATATATTTTTATAAATTGAAACTGTACCTACATAGTGTCTTTTTTGACTTCAGGACATCTCAAAATATTTTACAGCCAACCCTTTTGAAATGTGATCCATTTTAGTAATTTTGATTCAGGGATAAATATCAAACAGAACTTGAAGAACTTCATTGTTTCTTCAAATACTGTCATAGGATCTTTTACACCAGAGAAAAAAAACCTTCAGTTTAATATTTAATTTGAAAAGGTGCACTTCCAACATTGCAGCACTCTCTCAGTATGACACCAAAGTATCAAAATAGATGACGTGCTCAAGTCTCGGACTGGCTCTTGAATCTCTGAACTTCTGACTCTTTGACAAAGTGTCATAACTACCAAATATTTCGTAAATTTTACCCAAGGAACTAGTTTAATTTTAATGTATGTCAGGGTTTTGATAACGTTGTCAGATTCAAAAATTTAGTTCTCAGGGACAAACAAACCATTTGGATTGCTGATTGGGATAATTCCAGGATGGGGCATCAGACAAGGCATCCACCACAGATATCTATTCATAGAATCCATAGAATCCCTACAGTGTGGAAACAGGCCCTTCGGCCCAACAAGTCCACACCGAACCTCAGAGCATCCCTCCCAGACCCATCCCCCTATAACCCACCTAATCTACACCTCCCTGAACACTACGGGCAATTTAGCATGGCCAATCCACCCTAACCTGCACATCTATTGTTTGGTTCTGCATGTTACGTCAGGAGAAGATTAAGAGCTTATCATATCACCTGTCTTTATTATGCTACAGTTTTCATTTCTTAAGACCAGCAGGATGCTTAATTAAGAGGCATACTGGAAGAGATTTTAGCTCCATCTGCTCAGCTGTAACTGAATTAAAACAGGTGCTAGGTTTACCACTTCACTTTAATTCCCCTGCCATTTTTCCCCTCAGTACCTTCCACTGAATAACCTTCTGAATCAAGTCGCAGTCCCATCAATCTAAGCAAATCAAGGTGCAAAGAAGTACTTAGTACCCCAATGATCTACCCCCATTAAACATGACCTTACAACTAGAGGTTCATAAAAGGGTAGTGCAAGAATTAGAGGGACCTTGAGGAACAGGAGTGAGAACCTATTTAGTAAGTGCGGTACGCCTTCAAAGTGGACTAGACCTCCAGCTGGCCCTACTGGGTAATCACTGGCATATTCCACCTAATTGTTAAATATATCTGACCAATTCCACATGAAAGGGCAGCTTTTCATTCCTAATAGCAATTTTACCCAGCAGTTCAGCATGCCAAGACTCAGCAACTAGAATTAAGATCTGAGGACGTTCCCTAATAAACACACATAAGAACATAAGAACTAGGAGCAGGAGTAGGCCATCTGGCCCTTCGAGCCCGCTCTGCCACTCAATAAGAGCATGGCTGATCCTTTCGTGGACTCAGATCCATTTACCCGCATTCTCACCGTATCCCTTAATTCCTTTATTGTTCAAAAAAAATCTACTTTTTTTTTTAAAAAAGTGTTTACTGAAGTAGCGTCAACTACTTCACTGGGCAAGGAATTCCACAGATTAACAACCTTCTGGGTGAAGAAATTCCTTCTCAGTTCAGTCGTAAATCTGCTCCCTCTAATCTTGAGGCTATGCCCTCTTGTCCTAGCTTCACCTGCCAGTGGAAACATCCTCGCTACTTCTATCTTATCTATTCCCTTCATAATTTTATATGTTTCTATAAGATTCCCCCTCAATCTTCTGAATTCCAATGAATATAATCAGTCTCTCCTCATAAACCAACCCCCTCAACTCCGGAATCAACCTAGTGAACCTCCTTTGCACCCCCTCCAGTGCCAGTACATCCTTTCTCAAGTAAGGAGACCAAAACTGCACACAGTCCTCCAGGTGTGGCCTCACCAGCACCTTGTACAGCTGCAACATAACCTCTCTGCTTTTAATCTCAATCCCTTTAGCAACGACAGGCAAAATTCCATTTGCCTTCCTAATTACTTGTTGTACCTGCAGACCTACCTTCTGTGATTAGAATATGCCAGAGACAAAGATAAATACCCCAGATAATTAGCAGTTGGTATGACTCTGTATTTTTCTTAATAAAGCTGCTGAGTAACTGAAGAGCAGGTAGTGAGTTTAGCTTGCAACTGCGGCAAGAATTGTTCATATTGTTACTGTTCGACATTAAGAGTAGTCCGATAACAATGTTATGGTGAAAATTGTATTCTGTTCATTATCATTTTTGGCATAAATTGAAGCAGCTTTTACAATTAGTGTGTCACCCTGAGTGAAGGCAAGTGAATTCATGCAAGGTCCAGTGTCTGGTACCAGCCCTGGCAACAAGACGGCTATTTCATAATCACCCAATGTCATGCTTTTAACGAACTAGAAATCAGGTAGTAAAAATTACTACTGATTAGAACAAGATCCACTGATGTGAATGACGTGACACTAAACCAGAGACAGCTTCTACTGTCCCAACATTCATAAAGCCAAACAATCAAATATTTTGGAACAACTTTAAGTGCATATCCTGCTGATCCCATTGTAAACTACTAGGAAGTAATTGCATCTAATGGATAACAAAAAGAAGGCTTTAATTTTCTCTAAAGTAAGGTTGAATTATTGTCAAGAATTTTTAGCTCATTAAGTCCCTACATGAGGATTCAGGTATTTGCAACGTGAAGGTGGGATTAATTGCTTGGCTGTACATTGCAATATTTCAGATTTTACTAGCCAAGAATTCTTGGTAATGCTACATCAATTTTGTTGTACAGTACATGGACAGATTGAATCAATGAACCCATTCCAGTAATGTAATTATTAGATTTACAAATACATTCCTTTTTTTGGGCTCAAAGGGGCCTGTAACCATCTGCACCATAGCACACATTTGACCTTCCATCTCTGAAGAGTACACAAAGCATTTTATTGGTTACAAAGGAAAATTAGTCATGGTCCCTGTGAAACCTCAACCTTTCCTTACTTTATTCTCTGCCTGTGCCAAAATGACTTCAAAGTGTAACTTTCCATGTGTCTCACAGTTTCAAGTATCTGTAAGCTTGCCTTTTCTTAACATTCATTGCACCAAGCATAAAGATAAATTTACTCCATGCCAACAGACTTCCAGTGAATGCTGTTATACTAACAGGCTTGACTGGAAAAGAGTGTGTGTTAAATTCCAACATATCTCACGCGTAACAGACTGAACATTGGTGAACAAGTAGCATAATGCAGGAAGTAGATCATATTTGTCCATAGCTTCAGCATTAATCTTCAATGCCAGGTCGTCATGGCCCAAAAATCCGATCCGTAAAGCCTATGGTTGATTTGATTTATTGTCATGTGTACCTAAGTACAGCAAAAAGCTTTGTTTGCGAGCAGTACAAGCAGGCCATAGTAAGCTTTGACATACAGATCGTAGGGCAATAAAACTTGGACAGTTTACACCTCACAGAACGAGCACAAAGCAAGCTCAACATTAACAAGATCAACATTAACAAGATCAATATTATTTGATGTTAGACAGTCTATTCATTGGTCTAATAATGGCATGGAAGAAGCTGTTCTTGAACCTGCTGGTGCATGTGTTCAAGCTTTTGTACCTATTGCTTGACGGAAGAGGTTGTAGGAGAGCATTACCAGGGTGGGATGGGTCTTTGACGATGTTGGCAGTCTTTCCATGGCAATGAGAGGCGTAAATGGAGTCCATGGATGGGAGTGTGGCTTCCGTGAGGGTCTGGACTGTGCACACAACTTTTCTGTAGTTTCTTAGAGCCCTGGGCATAGTAGTTGCCATACCACACCATTAGCCACCCCAACAGTATGTGGTGCACCTGTAAAAGTTGGTGAGGATCCTTATGGACATGCCCATTTTCCTGTTCCACCTGAGGAAGAAGGTGTTACTGCGCCTTCTTGACTGTCACATGTCTATTGGAAGTTCAGCACAGATTGTCGGTTATCATCACTTCTAAGAATTTGACGCTGTCAACCTCCGCTCCATTGTTCTCCTCCTTTCTTTCTGATGGGAATGATCAGTTCTTTTGTTTAGTCAACATTGAGAGAGAGAGGTTGTTATCATCGCACCACATCACCAAGCCGCCTATCTCCTTTCTCTATTCTGACTCATCATTGTTTGATATCCATCCTACCATGATGGTATCATCAGCGAATTTGCAGATGGCATTCGTTCGGAATTCGGCTACACAATTGTGGGTGTACAGGGAGTACAGTAGGAGGCTAAGAACACATCCTTAGGGGGGCTCCAGTGTTGAGTGTTATTGTGGAGGAGGTGCAGTTACCTATCTTCCCTGATTGCAGCCTATGGGTCAGAAAACTGAGGATCCAGGTGCAGAGAGCCAAGGTCACACAGTTTTGAGATCCGTCTGGAGGGGATAATGGCATTGAAGACCGAGCTGTAGTCAACAAGCAGGAGTCTGATGTAGGTGTCCTTGTTATCCAGACATTGCAGGGAAGCAGGGCTAGGGAAATGGCGTCCACTGTGAACCCATTATGTCAGTTGGCAAATTGCAGGAGATCAAGGCAGGCTGGGAGAGGAGAGTTGATGTGGGTCATGACCAGCCTCTCAAAGCACTTCATAATTATGGAGAAGTCAGACCCACTGGGCGGTAGTCATTAAGGCACGTTGCATATGCTTTTTTAGCTACTGGGATGATGGTGGTCTTCTTGAAGCAGGTGGGAACTTTGGCTTGTAGGAGGGAGTGAATATCTCCGCTCGCTGGCCAGCACAGGATCAAAGTGCTCGTCTGAGGACAGCCTGTCGCTAGTGGAATGGAAACAAAATCAGACCATACCCACCACCCTCCACCCCACCACCCCTGGCCAAAATTAAACATTCCATTTTAGAGGTCCGCTGCTGTAAAATCTA